ACAACACTCTTCTGACTCTTCTGACCTCTTGGTGTATGACTCTGCAGACACCAAGCATACCCATGGTGCAGAGGCATACACACAAGAGAAATACTAAGACATAAAATAATGTAAGTAAAACAAAATGATACAAATAAATAAACCTAAAAAAGATTCTTCATTTAAAAAATTAAAATTAAAAACCTGAGCTCAGCCAGGCAGTGGTGGCACACGCCTTTAATCCCAGCATTCGGGAGGCAGAGGTAGGAGGATCTCTGAGTTTGAGGATCTCTGAGGCCAGCCTGGTCTACAGAGGAGACAGTCCAGGACAGCCAGGACTATGTAGAAAGGCCCTCTCTCAAAAAAAAACAACCAACCAACCAATCAACCAAACAAACAAACAAAAACACCTGAGCTCATTAACAGTAAGATTGTCTGCATTGTTGAGTACAAATCCAAGGTCTCCAGAATGCTTTTCAGTGCTTCTGAAGCTCTGTTTTAGTAAACACCTTGGGTTCCTCAAATCCACAAGCTCCCGAAGCCACCAATCTGTTTTTAGATTCGGGACATCTGATCCCTCCTGGAACCTGAGACTGACTCCCTCAGAGTCTGACATTGTGTATCTGGCTTATTTCACTCAGCGCAGTGCCCTCAAGACCCACCTGTATCACAGTATGTGTCAGAATTCACTTCTCTTTTAGGGCTACATAACCTGCTACGTGCACGCAGCAAGTTTTATTTGGCCATTGATTATCAACAGTCCCTGGATTGCTTCAGCCTCTTGTTTACTGTTAATATTGCTGCAGAGAACAAGAGTGTGGAAATATCTCTCCCTCCCTCTCTCAATTACAAATTATTTTGAGACAAGGCTTTATTTATTCATTCATTATATTATTATTATTGTTGTTATTATTGTTATTATTATTAGTTTTTGAGAGAGGGTTTCTTTCTTTTTTTTTCCTTTTTTTTGTTGTTTTGTTCTGTTTTGTTTTGTTTTTCGAGATAGGGTTTTTCTGTCTAACAGATCTAGCTGTCCTGGCACTCACTCGGTAGACCAGGTTGGCCTAGAACTCATAGAGATCTGCCTGCCTCTGCCTCCCGAGTGTTAGGATTAAAGGCATACATCACCACTGCCTGGCTTGAGACAGGGTTTCCCTGTGTAACAGATCTAGCTGTCCTGGAACTTGCCCTGGCTGGCCTCAAACTCACAGAGATCCACCAGCCTCTGCCTCCTGAGTGCTGGGATTAAAGGTGTGCGCCACCACCTCCTGAGTTAGATAAGGTTTTGTTATGTACCCCAAACTGGCCTTGAATTGAGGATCCCCCTGCCTCAGCCTCCTGAGTGCCTGTACTGCTCTTGCACACAGGTCTTCACACCTGCTTCTGGTGCTCAGACCTGAAAACCCAAGTGTGGGACCTGAGACTGGCTCTTAGCCTTCAGGCACAGCTGAGGGTTTTGCTGGCTTTGCCTTCTCTCTCTCTTAGTCTACCAGTGCTCTTTCTCAGTTTACATTTCCCCATTGTCTTGATGGAACTGGAGGAGAGAGCAGAGCTATGGTCATTTGGTAAAACCTCTTGGACTGCTTGTCATGTGTGCTGATAAAGGGGCAGATTGCTGATGCGGTAATTCTCTAGCAGTCGTCTTTTCTCTCAAAGTGATTCTGCCTGGGATTTATGCACACTCTGTCGGTGGCATCTCTGTGGATGGAGTGAAGCACACTGTTTACACCTGAAGTTGTTTCCTGGTGTACAATGTTGAATTGACAAAGGACTTCATTTCCAGGAAAATGAACAGTCTATGAGTGGTATAAAAATGGTTTTATAGTGTATGTACACTACCAGATGCTCCTTTCTTTTAAAAAGCACAATGTTGGGGCTGGAGAGATAGTTAACCGTCCAATAGCTCCTGCAGAGGACCGGAGTTTGGTTGCTAGCGCCCATGATTGGGAACTCACAACCACCTGTAAGCCCAGTTCTAAGGAATCCAACACCCTCTACTGGCCTCCGTAGGCCCTGCATGCACATGGTGTAGCCACACTCGGGCACATACACATACACATAAAATAAACACATAAATCCATTTTAAAAGCATAATATAGGCTTGTTCTTTAAAGACATGTTCATATCATGCAGTGAGCATCTCTGGTCCAAAACACAAAACCCAGAATCTGAACTCACTGAACACCATGCACAATAAATACATCACCCACGGAAAACCCTGTGCCTAGCCTCCGGTGAACAGAGGTTAGACAAAGGAGAGTTAAAATTATTGCATCAAGCTACCACCAGGCTGTGTGCATAAGACACACATGAAACATAAATGGATTCATAAATCATATGCATGAAAATACTCCAATCATGACAAACTTAGAATTCAGTCTGGTTCCACCATTTTAGGTAAGGCTGCCCACCTGTCTTATATTAAGTGAGGTTCCTCACTTGCTGATGTCCTGTGTAAACACAGTTCTTGTTCACCATGACCACTCATTCTCAAACTAATGACATTTAAACATGCTTCTGGGCCATGTGGAGGAGAGGTTCGAGGTGTCTTCACAGAATGGGAAATTGGGATCAATAAACATGTTCCTGGTCACTTTAGTTTGGGTCAAGCTATGTCCCTGATGTGACCCCTTTTTTATTTCTTTTTTCTTTCTTTCCTTCTTTCTTTCTTTCTTTCTTTCTTCCTTTCTTTGTTTCTTTTTTTTAAAAGAAAGGTTTATTGAATACACTACAAGAGGCACCCAGCTGGGCAGTAACTAGAGAACTGCTTGCCACAACTTCCCTCTTTAAATTGTTTTTAGAATTTCATATCTACTCCTTTCTCTTTCCCCTCTAACTCCTCCCACCCCCCTCTAATTCCTCCTGTGTCCCACCCCCTCCCACTGCCTATCAAGTTCATGCTTAGCATCTTCTTCTATAAGTATTGTTACACACACACACACACACACACACCCTACTGAATCCATTTAGCTTTGCTCATATGTACGTGTATTTAGCTCTTGGTTGCCTTTGCAACTGGTCAAAAAGCAGAGATTAAGTGACCGTAGTGTGCCCAGCCCCAACTGACACATTCACAATGCAATCCCAAGGCCCAGAGGACACCAGGAATGTGCTTGTAGAAAGACTTTAAGAGCCAGAGAGGATCAGGACTTCTGCTTCTAGACAGGACAGCAAAACCTCACTCACTTAATCTCAACGATATGGTTGCCTAGACTTGCATGGTGACACCAGCGGCTGAGAAGGTCTCATACTCCTTAACGTGCTTTAAGAGGAGTCTGTAGGCTAAGGCAACCCCTTCCAGCAGTGAGCAGTGCTTTACGTGATTGTGCCAGCAGGTGGCGCCCGAGCACCACCGTTTCTAAATGGAGTCCCAACCATCAGGCCCAACTTGTTACTACTGGTCCTTGATATCTGGAAAGACAAATATTGAGTGAAAGGAAAGTCTTTGGAGATACTTTACCCAGGGTGCGATCTTTTCTGGACTCACGGTAACGAGCACTTTTCGTGCTGGCCCCTAGCGCGACACTAACTGAGTCCCCCTGGTATCAGAGCCTCCTGTACCCCCTCTTCTTAACCCCACCCCCTCTTGTCTGGGACTCCGCCCCCGTGGTGTTTTGCATTGTTTCCTAATCGTTTTTTGTGCTCTTTTTCCGAGAAGTACTCCTGGTAATAGGCTTAGTTGAACTCTCCTGCCACACTGCCTTCTGTGCTAAAACACCAAAACAACCTGGGGGGCTGGGGGGGGGGGCTGCTATTGAAAGAACACAAGACAGGAACTCAAGACGGGAACCTGCAGGCTGATTTGACACCCTCTTCCTTGGGCACCTACACTATTGTGTGCACACACATATAATACACCCAATTTAAAAAACAAAAACAAGGCTTTAATCCCAGCACTCGGGAGGCAGAGGCAGGCACATCTCTGCGAATTCAAGGCCAACCTTATCTACAGAATTGAATCCAGAACAACCAGAGCTACACAGAGAAACCCTGTGTTGAGAAACCAAAAATAAGTAAGTAAATTAATTAATTAATTAAATCTTTTTTAAAAAAAAAAGGAAAAAAAATAGCACACATGGAAGGAGGCAGAACTCCTTCTGAGACACCTCACCTACCCTGTTTCATTCGCATTAATTATCTGTTGCTTTAAGTGTTTGGGGTACAAAGAAAGATTAAAACATGGTTCCTAGCCTCTAGAGCAGTGTTTCTCAACATGTGGGCTGTGACCCCCTTTGGAGTTAAATGACTCTTTCACAGAGGTCGAATATCAGATACCCTGCGTATCAGATATTTACATTGCGATTCGTAACAGTAGCAAAATTACAGTTATGAAGTAGCAATGAAAATAATTCTATGGTTGGGAGGTCACTGCAGCACAAGGAACCCTATTAAAAGGTGGCAGCATTAGGAAGGTTGAGAACCCCACTCTAGAACAACCGCAATGAACGATGAAAAATCAAGTAGGCAGAACTGTGACCTGCCTAAATTACCAGGAAAAATTTCCCCAGGAACAACCCTGGTTCTATCCCCACCATCCATATAGTGATTCATAATCACCTGTAACTCCAATTTCAGGGGATCCCATACCCCCTTCTAGCCTCTGTGGGCCCCAGAAATGCACATGGTACACAGATATGCATGCAGGGAAAACATTATTGCACATAAAATATGTTAAGGATGCCACGCTTCTGTCTAGTTACGGCCACTGCTGGCTCTGTGGCAATGCTTTGGTTGGAAACATTCATTATACAGAAGCCTCTGCTCTCTTGGTTATGACCTTAAGCCTGGGTATGACAAAACTCAGTGGTAGAGTGCTTGTCTAGCATGTGCGGGTTCTGTCCCCAGCACACATGTCACCCCCTGACACCAGCAAAACCCTGAAACCTGTGTTTACACATTGCAGGAACATTGTGCAGGCTCCTCCCAGAGGCTCAGCTGGTGTTGCACAAGGCCAGCTTGTGTGTTCAGCAAATCCAACCCTGAGGGGAAAAGTCGGTGCCACTGGGTCGATGAGAACAGCCATGGATATGGAGAAAGTCAACTCCATGGGCTTCAGGGAATTTGTGGATGTGTTTGGGAACATCATTGAAAAATGCCCTCTGGTCGCAGCTGCTGTGTGGTCCCAGCGTCCATTCTCTGACTTGCAAGACTTAGAAAATCACTTTTTTGCTTTTATCGATGCTCTTCCAAGATCAGGTAAGACTATGAGCACAAAACGATTTCCAATCTCAGCTATAAAAATAGTTTAGGGGGCTGGAGACATGGCTCAGTGGTTAAGAGCATTGACTGTTCTTCCAGAGGTCCTGAGTTCAATACCCAGCAACCACATGGTGGCTCACAACCACCTTGAATGAGATCTGCATGCAGGCAGAAGACTGTATACATAATAAATAAATAAAATCTAAAAAAAGAAATAGTTTAGGTTATTTTAGCCCTGTTACTTATACTTAAAGTTATTTATTGGGGTTTACCAGAAGGGTCAGTAAGCACCCTTTGAAGGTGCTAGGTGCTAAGTAGACCTCAGAGTGTGTCTGGTAAGACAGCATGGCAAATAAACATTGGAGCCTGGAGGCCACCAACGGGAATGGGGCAAAGACCTCTGTGAGTTACAGGCCAAAGGGCAGACTGAGGCTGGCCCTGTTCAGCCACCCAGTGTCTGCTTTGGCCATGCTCTGGATGCAAGAGAGAAGGCCATGAGTACATTTCAGGGACAAATACAAATCACTGGCATGTTTATAAGGGAAGTGCATTCACTCAGACCCCTTTTGGGGAAAAGAAGAAGTTGAGGTGGGGGCTGGAGAGATGGCTCAGAGGATAAGAGCACTGGCTGCTCTTCCAGAGGTACTGAGTTCAATTCCCAGCAACCACATGGTGGCTCACAACCATCTGTAATGAGATCTGGCACCCTCTCTGACCTGCAGGTATACATGTGGGCAGAACACTGTATACATAATAAATAAATAAATCTTAAAAAAGAAAGAAGTTGAGGTGAGTTGGTGTGCTCTAGGGAAAGAGAGAGAGAGAGAGAGAGAGAGAGAGAGAGAGAGAGAGAGCCCCTGAAACATTTTGGGCCATGGGGGGGGAACATGAGGGTGTAGAAGTTCAGACTGAATGGCATAGAGGCCAAAGACATCCAGTCCCCGCTCACAGGCTGCCCTGATTCCATGACAAGCCTGACATACCCTTGGGGACTTCAGGCAGGAGGGTGACCCTCTGGTTTCACAAAGGGGCAGGCACACACTGCTACCTTCAGGACAGCTGTGACATTCAGTGGCTTCCCATCCTCACCTGATGTCCTCATAGGAGAACTTACCAAGGAAGAATGGGATTAATGCCACAAAAGCAAACTGGGGGCCCAGAGAGATCCTCCGCAGGCCAGAGCACTGGCTGCTCTTCCAGAGGACCTGGGCTCAATTCTTAGGACTCACATAGCTGCTCACAACTGCCTCTAACTCCAAAAATCTGATGTCCTCTTCTGGCCTCCGTGAATACCAAGAATACATGTGGTGCACAGACACAATGCAGGCAAGACACTCACACACATCAGATTTAAAATGTAAATGTGTGTATCTCAAACTGAAGCCCAGCATAGTAACCCAGGACTCACTGGGCTGCAGCCAATCCCTTGCACATTGTTTTTAGGGGGTGGGGGGAACAACTGGAAACTCAATGTTTTTAATGCCCCCGTTCTTAAAATAATGAATCCAACATGATATTTAAATGAATTTATTTATGACTATGTGTGTGACAGTGTACGTTTGTGAACTTCATGAATGCAGGTGTCTGTGGAGCCAGAAGTGGGATCAGATGCCCTGGAACTGGAGTTATGGGCAGTTGTGAGCTACCTGATGTGGGTGCTGGGAACTGAACCCAGGTCCTCTGCAAGAGAGTGCTCTTAACCACTGAGCCATCTCTCCACCCCCAATCTAAAGGTTTTTAAAGAAAATAGCCAAACTAGATGTCAATCTCACAGCTTCTGGGGATTTTCTACATAATCTAAAACAAAATTAGAAAGGTGTGTTCAAGCACTCACACATGCATGCACGTGTGTGTGTGTGTGTGTGTGTGTGTGTGTGTGT